TCTCATCCCGCCCCAAGGAACTAAAAAGAAACCAAAACTATATCCCAGAAAATACTCTTCACAACCATCGCTGGGAGAACGTCAAATCCTACGGTCCTCTTTTGTTTGCCTGCCAATTGTAGCATACAGTTTGCTTTCCTTTGCTCTGAGTTACAATTTACCTTGCCCTAACTCTTATACTTTCTAATCTGTCTCGTAGATAAGTGAGACAAATAGGCATAAAAGAGGCTGTGTCATAACAGAGTCCTGGATCCAATCCCGTTTGTAATATGTAGACATAGTGGCAATGTGACAAGTTTCATTTTTGAACAGAACACTAGAGTTTCCTCTGCAAAATTCCAGTGATATTGCTACAGTTCCATCTACACAGCACTGTACATGGGCAATGGGCATTATCAGGCAGCGGAGCACCTCTGTTCTTAGTCAACAGTGTCTAGTCCTTTGCTTAACCAGACCCGAAGTAAGGAAGCTGGGCTGATTTTCTTGCGTTGGTTCATGTTAAAATGTTTATGACCCTACTTTTTGTCGTACATAATAAATTAGCCTTCATTCCTCAGCCTGTAACAGAAATGAGAACTAAGAATCTTCCTGGGTAGTAAAGGGCGGCCGGTGCGTAGGGTTGAGAAATTTACCGCCATCTGTGAGCCGACTGTTTAAATAATATGGGACCCTCAACGTCCTAGAACCCAATGGACCTCCATGGTCTGTTACAGGGATAATTTTATCTTTACCTCAAATATATTATTTTAATTTTTTTCGTCCACTTTTTCATTCGACGAGCAAGTTTAGAGGTGTAAAATAGTTAACTGTTCACTTTCTTTCCGGATAGTAATTGAAGCGAGAAAACAAGAATAGACAGGACGCAATACGGACATTTGTCCTGGTACTGAAGTTCCCGGAATATGCTGTTAAATAACAATGTTATGTTGGCATACGCAAGCACTGATATTTGTTGTTTTTATTCATTATTAATATAAAAACTCCCTGGTTTTAGTCCGCAAGCGAGCTATACCTACCGAGCGACCGCCGCTTGTCGGCGAAGTTAGTGCCAACTGTAGCTGATAGAGGGTGTCGCTTGGTCAGCGCAACGAATCCCCACGGCCGGTAATTTCGGTTTTCTACACCGGCCATTATTAATATAAAGTTATGAAAAAAAAATTCTATAATTAATTCTAGCGTACTTTTAAAGGTTTTGACAGTATCTGGATATAACAGTTTCACTCCTTCTCTCATTACATCCTGCCACATTTTACTGCACGATTTCTTGTCTGTTTCTTATTTTGTATTCCCCCTTTTCGTATTTCCTCCGGCCAAGGCCGTGACATTCCCTCTCATATTCTCTGTTTCTTGTAGTTTCACAATCCGTTTCACCAGAGAATGACCAACACGTCAGAACACTGTCTTGTTTGAACTCAACTTTGAGGGAATAGCAGAGCATGTTTAGTCCTCCATTTGCCACCAGGCAGCGCAGGCCGGCTCATAATGAGAGGACGAAGAGAGACGAGTTTGATCTTGATTAGAGGCCGCCTGTATACAAGTATACATGGGATTTTGAAAATTTGCTTTACAAAAGTTGAACAGAACCACATGGTTCTGGCAGACTTCAATAGTTCACAATTGTTCGTGCAGTATTACGTTGCCATTTTCATAAATTGCTTCTCTGAAACAAAATGCCAAAATTTTGGAAACTGTGAGTGACTAAAGACACATCAACTGCAACGACTGGAGCCACCTGCTCACGCTGGTTCCTCGCTCGCGGATTTTTATACCCTGAAATGGAGGCGATACGTTCCACCGAAACGTCTTACACAATATCTACACCGCGCCATATCCCAGAAGACATTTTTGAACAAATGTATTCTTGGTTTGGGTGCCGGCAGTTTAATCTACCATCCCCTCTCCAGTTGGGTTTCAATAAACCGTTAAGTTCCTTCTAAGTATACAAAAGAACTTGCTTGAACTTAATTTTATCGTCTTCTTACTGAGACTGTAATACCGTGCAATAGCATTTAAAACTTTTGAAATTATCTGAAAAAAAAGTCCTGTGTTCATGTTCATATTTTTTATTCTAAGAATAGATAGAATTCAGCGATGAATGGAAGGGATTATTACAGACTTCGTGCTGTTGAAGGCAACATTCTTCCAGTCTATATATTTAATGTACTTCCCCTCAACAAGGGCCACACGATTCAGACAATGGAGCATTACCCTTTGCCCTAGCCTATGGGCATTCTTAATTCTCGATAGGAACTGAGACTTTATGCCTACGTCATTATGTAAGAATACATGGAGGTGCATCTGTGTTTTCCTTTGGACTTTATTATTTCTTAAATTAAATGTTTCAGAGCTTCTCGGTTTAACGTTTATCTTTCCAGGTAGGTCCAGATATTTTGCTTGACGCTTGAAAATTAACTTATTCTAATATGATGCTATAATATTCGATACTAAACCAATGAAGCCCTGAAGATCTAGTAAAACAATCGATTCCTATTTATATCCACTGTTCTGGAATGCAAGACAGGTGACAACGCATTTAGATGAATAAGGAGACTGAATTTAATATCATCTGTAATCATCAAGTGTACGGTGTTCTAGGCGTTTAGTGTGGAGAAGGTCTAATGTTTCGAAGGGACCTATGGCCTCCATCTTCGGAGTCGAAGAGTAAGCGAAGCAGGAGACCAACAGAAGCAGGTGGCAAGGCTTTTCGCCTGGTTCTACCTGTCTGTTGCTTGGCTGCTTAATCTTATACCAAGAAGATGAAGGTGATATGCTCCTCCGAAACGTCTGGATGTCTCGTAACCACACGGCTTTACAACCAGTGGACCGCACTCTTCACTCTCATCGCCGTGAGAGCCTCAAATCCAATATCTTGAGTCTTATTTTTCACTGTAACATAATCCGTGTGCTTGAATTTATTAGTTCATGCTTACAAAGGAATGCGGAAGAGAAAATGCATTCTTTCGCCGTTTGCAAATGACTCCTGGTATAACTTGTGACTTATGAAGTGACGAGTCCTTTGATCTCGGCCTCTTTAGTTGGGACAGGGAATTCTGAACCTGTTTCTTCTTGTTACGAGGCCGCTCTTGTACTTCCTGGAGAAAGGACGTGTTGCTCCACTGCCTCGAATTTATCTGTCCTCTCTCTCCTCTTAGTTACTCTTTCTTATCCTCACTGTCCAACCCCCAACGCGATGTTCCAGACGCTCTGCTATAAGAGGTTATGTATCTCACATTTAACTTGTCGACTTCAATAAATGAACGTTTCCGTTTTGTACTTTCTTGGAGCATTGATTTCTTAAGGCGCATGAGCAGCTCTTTCCCTTGTAGGCTTTCGAAGAAAAGTTCGCTACTAATGCCCTTCTGCCTGTCTGTCCTCTATTGAATCACGGTTATAAATATCATATTAAATTCCAGACATTCATATAACTTAATATGAATGTCATTCTACCAGAGGTCGCTAAGCTTGCTTTTGATATGTCTAACGCCATCAATGCCAGCAATTCGACTGTGCAAGCTTAGAGCTGGAAATGAAATTATCGCTCTTCACTGTAGGTTCATGAAACATCGTAAGGCGAGGATCTTAGTAAAAGACATAACGTTCATATTTTAATTTTACATAAGACCGAATTAAGTCCCATATTAGTCTGAGTATTTACGTTCTATGTAAGATTTGAGGCTTTCACGGCGGTGACTATGAAGAAAGCAGTCTTCTGCGATTTGGCACCGTGTATATGTGGTGTTAACCGACGTTTCGGATGAACGTATCGCCTCCATCTTCAGGGTAGAAGGAAAAATATAAGAAATCCGCAAGCGAAGAGTCTGCTTTTACCGGTTCTCACGGTCTCTTCGCTTGCAGATTTCTTATATTTTTCCTTCTACCCTGAAGATGGAGGCGATACGTTCATCCGAAACGTGGGTTAACACCACATATACACGGTGCTAAATACCAGAAGACTGCTTTCTTCATTTACATTCTAGTTAATGAAAACAGAAGATCAAGTATTTGTACTTTTGATAGGCAAAGAAAACAGTTCTTACTATCGTAATATACAATAACAAAATAAAAATTATTCACTTCCTTATATATGCATAACCTATTTATATAAGATTTTGAGGAACGGATGAAGATATGAGAGATTGTATATGTGGAGATAAAACTTTAGTATAATTTTTACATCGAGGGGTATCTAATGTATGCAGTTTTGTTTTGAAGCGGACAGGATAGTTTAACGTCATAAAAATCGGTTAATTTATGTGTCGTTAGTATTAGAAACTCAGACTGGGCAATTCAGTGGATATTCTAAAACCGCAAGTGACGAAAAAACGTTGTATATCTAGTATATTCAAAGAGTTATAGATATTTCTTGAGTTTTTATAGATATATTGTTGTAAACGAGTGCTTGTTAAAGAAATATTGTAGCTTCATATTTATAAATAAGTTTTTTCTGAGTTTGCTTGATGAACGTGAAATAAATAATTTTTTATTTGCCATTATATTTGTACTAAGAGGGGGGAGGGGAAAGCGGTAGCGTAGTTGGTTGAGGCACTATGCTACAAACCGGAAAGTCGCGGGATCGAATCCCGATGAGGTGTTTTTTTTTTCCAATTTACCTAATCCTTCCAGCCGCACTATGGCCTTGGGGTTGACTCAACCTCTAACAGAAAGAGTACCAGGAATATTCTTTGGGGTAAAGGGTGGCCGGCGCGTAAGGCTGACAACCTAACCGCCATCTGTGAGCCGATTATCTACAAAATGTGGGAACCTCAACATCTCACAACCCTATGGGCCTCCACGGCCTGTTACAGGGATAGCTTTACTTTACTTCATTTATACTAAATTTCTTTTCCCTGCTTTTGTGAAGAGTAAAGTGTGTAGTACACTAAGGCACGTAAATTAAGAAAGATAAAATTAGCCCTATATGTTGGCTACAGAACTACTGTCGCCTTTTACTGCAGCGAGATACAGCATTGCTAGTGTGACGCGTGTTTGCTGCTTTTCAGGAGCAACTGTGATGACCGCGTGGCCAGAATATTCAGGCAACATTATGGCCGACCCTATTTTCTGCCGCCCACTGCCGAAAGCAAGAAGTTGGACTGGATCTTCATGGGAAGCCCCGGTTATGGAGCCCACATGCATGTAAGCCCAAAGATTGCTCTTCCTTCATTCAGTTTACTGTTATCTCAGCCACTCAGACAATTTGAGAGTCACTGAATTGGTGGTCTGTAGTTCGAGTCTCGGTCAGGAATTTTGCGGTGTCGACCATAGATTTTTGTGCAGTTCATAAGGCGTAATTTCTGAATATTCGTTTAAATATGTCACCATTGGAGCTGAGGTAACGCATCGGTATGGTGACTGGCTATGAGCTGAACGGTCTCGCTATCGGAGTTCCAGTCCCGGCAGGGGAAATATTTTCTCCTCTCTGCGTCGTTCAAACCGTTTTCGGGGCCCACCAAGCCTCCTCTGCAGTGGGTATCGCGGGTAAAGAGCCGGGGCGTGAAGCTGACAAATCACCTACGGATTGCCGACTGTAAATTCACTCCCCCATAAGTCTTCATGGGTAATGCTTAATTAGTTAAGCCCAGGGGCAGTCCGCGCCATAGGTCAAGCGGTTAGTCGCTGTCTTCCCACTGCGGCGGCCCGGGTTCGATCCCGGGTCTGGTCAAGTGGGATTTGTGGTGGACAAAGTGGCGCTGTGGCAGGTTTTCTCCGAGTACTTCGGTTTCCCCTTCCAATCTTCATTCTACCAATCCTCACAATCACCCTCACCTACCATCTGGGGCTGGTACAATAGGCCAGAAGTGGCCATAGTACAAGGGACTTAGTCCCACCCCACAAGCAATAAAAAGAAATAAGCCCAGGGGCAACTTTACCTTAACATGCCGCCGTTGCTTCCTACCGCTTATCTGCGGTTACCACGATTCACTTCACACTGCTTGCAAAACGCAGTGAAGTAGACCGAGAAGAAATCGAGCATAACTTCACTGAACCTTGGACTAGGATAATTAGATCTCATGCTTCATAACTGTGATATCTAGGATTGGAATTCGGCCCGGAAATCGGATATTCTGACCGAAGTTTAATCAGTTCCTTCAACATATACTGATGTATCATAGGGTAATGTAGTACATTGTAAGTGGCAGGGGGACAATCGTGAAATATATTTCACGAGATTCAAAGAGAATGAGTTGAGGGACTGCATGCAGTGCGGCTCACAGTAAGAGACATTCATATCGGCTTTCAAGAAAGTAAGAATATTAAACGAAGCTGGGACACTGGTACTAAAGCAGTTATCATGGAAAGAGTTCGCAAGAACGTGAACTCAATTGAACTTGTGTTTCGTGTCTTTCTTTTCGTAAGTCTGAAGTCGGCGTTNTTACAAAAGAGTCAGTTTACTATTGAGTATTCAGCATGCCAATAACCTTGCATCAGCTTCTTTAGTCCCAAAGTCAGTACTTTATAAAGGTAAAATTGTTCCTGTGCTCAACGAATTTAAGCACTACACCATGAAGACATATGGGGTAGTGGATATATAAATCCACATTTTCTTGACCTCGGCACTAGCTGGAGGGGAGCGATCAGCTTCACGCTCCTGCCGCTTTACCCTCGGGGAAATAGCCCTCGGTACCCTTTGGATAGGAGGTTGGGTGAACCCCAGAGCCGGTCTGGACGATTTGGAGAAGAGGAAATTCTTGACCCTAATATCGCTATACCCACTGCCCTATCCCGGCTGTGTACAGAATTAAAAAAAAAACAAAAACAGAAAAAGTGTAATACATTACATTATCGCGTGAGCTTAAAATTAACCTGTTTAACAAGAACCTGCGGAAATTTGACTGGTTTACTTAACTATATATTGCGAAACGATCTCTGATCTTACGTGCTGCCTCCTACCGACGTGACAATCAATCACACCTGTGGCACACAATCTGTTGCACGTAATGACGTGGCCATGGATTCTGAAAGAAAATGATATATTCTTGAATGGTTCAATGACCTTAAGCATTCCATATTACGGCCCCTTCTCGCCCAGAACCCCTCCCCCAATTTCTTTGATGGTGGTTCCCCACATGCGCAGAATAATAAATTGATTCAGTCGCTGTATCAAAACGTAAAAGAAAAGAGAGCAAGAATGAGTGGCACAGGGTCTTTTGGTACCGAGGTAATTTCCGCCATCACCGGCCTCACAGACCCAGTGTCGCCTTTGTGTGCAACCTGTGCTTATATAATGGACTTTAGACAGATACGCCTCAAGTTGTGAGATGAAATATTGCGTGCATCACAAGGCAAAGAGTTCTATAAGCTCAGTATTCACTGGATCTGCGTACGAGTAGCGGGCCATTACTTCCTCCGTAGTGTCGAGAGATACTTAGCTCAAACAAAAACAGTTGTTCAAATTTTGTTCAGTATGTCTTGCATGTGATTCTGTATGGGTATGAAACTTGGTCTCTAAGGGCGGCCGCACACCAACTGCGTCAAGACAAGCATCAAGACATGAAACAAAAGACGCAGTCTTGCTTTATTCGTGATTCGTCAGCATGAAGCTGACGTCAGCATCATGATTTAGACCGATGTGCTGTGGCACACTGGCAAGTATCAAGACAAATAAAGGTCAAGACACGATGTCTGCGACATGAAGCAAAGAAAGGAGCACAGTTGAAATGAATGAGATTATGAAACCCGCACGTGTGTGCGCCTGTTAAAAGAATCTCTCAGGTAGACAGTGCCACGGCCGTAATACAGATAGGAGAGCTTCCTAATATGTATCTTACGTTAACACGATAGGTGGGTCACACGGCTGCTGTAGGGGCCCATGACTGAAGTTATTTTATCACCATATTTATAGACCAAAGAAACTGCTTCCCCCGAATCCTCACACTAGCCTCTCTTGGCCATAACCTAAATAGGATGGCTGCGTCATAGCCCAAGCGGTTAGTCGCTGGCTTCCCACCGCGGCGGCCCGGGTTCGATTCCGGGTCTGGGCAAGTGGGATTTGTGGTGGAAAAAGTGGCGCTGGGGCAGGTTTTCTCCGAGTACTTCGGTTTCTCCTGCCAATCTTCATTCCACCAATTGCTCCAGAATCACCCTCACCTATCATCTTGGGCTGGTACAATAGGCCAGAAGTGGCCGCAGTACAAGGGACTTAGTCCCACCCCATTAACAATAAAAAAAACTAAATGGGATACATTTCGATTTCTCCTCCTCCCCCCTTCCCCTCCTTCTTCTTTTCCTATGCGGAGCATAGAGCATCCGTGAAATTCTTCGCTTCACTTCAGTTTCTCAATCTTAGGCAGGACTCCTTGCACGGGGGATCAGCCCGTCGCCAGGTCGATACCTAACACAAACGTAGAATGAACACAAACAGACATCCATGCCTTGAGTTGGATTCGAAGCCATCATTCCAGTGCTCTATCGGGCGATGTCATTTCATGCCTTAGACTGCGCGGCCACTGTGATCAGCACATTCCATCTAGAGACTATAAATTACAGTAATTTCGCCTTTCAATAGATGGTAGACGGTTTAGTTATGAGTTCTATTGAAAGGATTCTGACGATGGTGCATGCTGTACAGAACTCTAAGGTTTATTTTGGACTCTATCCATAGTCTGGTATATATAAGACAAAAAGACAGTCATATGATTGAGACTAGCCCTTTCTAACGGGCCCAACTTAGTAGGTCTATCTTGCCCCATCCACCTGAGGACGGAGACAGATCCAGTCTCCGAAACGTTTTGGTTCTTTTGGCTTATATATACTAGATGATGGATAGAGTCCAAAATAAACCTTAGAGTTCTTTATTTAACACTTGTTTTCGATAAAATTAGGTAAAACTCTTTATCAACTGGTGCACTTTTAGTATTTCAAGAATAAAATTTCTCCTTGAAATTTGCGGGGTAGTTATAATAACCTCCAATGCTGGGATGGATTAAAATATCTGAGCACTTCGCTAATGGTATTTGCCTCCAGTGCCGATCATATGGCGGAAGAAAAATTGAATTTTTCCCGGATTTCATGTTACTGACAGTAACAAGCTAAATCATAAAGGAAGAAATAATTGTACTGTATGATGTTGTTCCTTTCCCGCTCCGAGCGAACAAGGCTTTGAGGCAGATCTCGTTAGTGTTGCCGGATGTAAAGGTTCAGGACCCTGCCCTCACTGTTATTTCCATGCCGCTCTTTTAAACGTGTTTAGAGGCATTTTTAATGATCTTTACAATTTTCTGTGATGTGTAGTGCGTCTGGAACGGGGTCCACTCGGCCTCGTGAAGATAAATGGGGGAGCTATTTCAAGGGAATAGCGGCTCCGGTCTAGAAAACCGAGATTAACGACCGTGGGAATCAGTTGCGCTCACCACGCGACACCCTCTATCCGCAAAAGTTGGCACTAACTTCACCGACAAGCGGCGATTGCTCCGTCGGCATAGTTCGCTTTCGGACTCAAGCTACGGATTTTGTTTTGTTTGTCAAATCAAATAATTCGTTATTGAGCATGATCAGATGTAGGACTATGCAATTGTCATGAAAAGAAAAACAGAAACTAATAAGACCCTGGTTTCTACGTATATCGCGTCCAGAGAGTATGCCCGTGTTGTTACATATGATTGAGTATTTTGGAGCAGTACGAGTATGTTAGGTAACTTAACACAGTAATAATTTGCTGTTATCAAAAGGTAATTGAAGTTAGTTCAATTATGAAATGAACTGAAACATTCTTAAATCAACAACTCTTGGCAGGTAAGGTAAAATAGGGCGAAGTTATCCCCATGCTTAACTAATTAAACACTATACCATGAAGGCGTATGGGGGAGTGGATGTATAGTTCCATATTTTCTTGACCTCGGCACTAGTCGGAGGTGAGTGATCAGCTTCATGTCCCGGCCGCTTTACCCCTAGGGAAAATATCCAGTTACCCCTAGGATAGGAGGCTGGAGGACCGGTCTGGACGAAGTAGAAAAAAGAACATTCTTGATTCTACCGGGACCGAAATCCGATCCCCTCCCGTCACCCAGCCCGTAGCCAGTCGCTGTACCGACTGCGCTATCCCGGCTCCTTGGCACATGCGGAAAGAACATTCATTCAGGCATGTGTTTAGCTTTTGAAATCTCAGCACTTACATGAACATGGGCGCCGTCAGAGAG